ACCATTTTAATTTTGATTTAAAAATACAAAATTTAACTGATTTTATAATTTTCGTTTAAAATCAACGACACTGCGTTTCCGCGAATGAATCTGGCGGAGAGAGAGCAGAGCGCCTGACGATAACGCAATCGCAGCATCTCCTGTTTGTTCATTGTTTGCGCTTTTCCATTAGTTGTCATACTTTTTTATTTTTATTCCATTATTATCCTTTTGTAGTTTTTGGTTTTTCTTTGGTTTTTAGTTTCATATTATATGTGCGACGCAATCGGACATTCCGATCAGCTGACAATGTTAGTTTACTCGGTTCACTTTATTCCTTTTACTCACAGTCTTTTAAATATTGCTAAACGGAAACGATGGAATAGAATCTCTGATCTAAAAATCTTAATTAATGGATAAAATAATATTATATAATCAAAAATAGTGAGTTCATTTAACCCTCCGTCGGTCGGATATTTTTTCACCTTCGAACGGTCGGAGTGGTCTGGCTAGATCACCAATATTTTACATGCAATTATATGGGTTAAATGAGTTTTTGCTGTCTTATATATTAACGATTATTAGTAGTAAATATTTATAGCTTAGATCTTTTCTTTTTTTACCGTCTTTTGCATGTGTTGAGCTTGCTTATAATAAAAAAAATAAATATTATATTATATAAAAAAAATCAAAGAATATAAAAAAATCGTTGCTTTTTTATTATTTTTATTTTTCTGTTTCATATCATGAAAAAACAATATTATTTTTTTCGGCTCCTTCGAAATGAATGTGAAATTCAAATGAAAACGAAATGAGGAGCGTCGCTTTTGAAATGAACTGTAAAATTCAAGTTGAAAATATAATTTCACTACAGGTTTGACACAAAAAAATTTCTAACGCAGTACGGGTAGAAAAATTGTTGATAATGTGCGCGTTACTCAACCGATTTTCAATGTTTGCGATGACCAATAAGTTTGGTAGGTTTTCAAGGAACTCTCGTTGTGAAAATACTAACATTCATGTTACAACACATAACAAAAAATATATAAAATGCAGTTAGAATAGAAAATACCCGAAAGAAGACAAAATACTGGTTTACATATATCAAAAAGCGTATATTTCATACAAAATGTATGGGTGGTCTAGATAGACCACTCCGACCGTTCAAAGTATAAAAAAGTTAATATTCTTATAATTATCCTTCTGTACATTTTTCGTCCTGATTTTTTCATTGATCGACAGCTAATGAAATTTTAGGAAAAGTCATAAAATTTCAAGTCGATAAGATTACTAGAAGTATTTTTTTTTTAATTGAAGTCGAAAAGTCTGGCCAGACCACGCCGACGACGGAGGGTTAAATTTAGAAATAATTGTTTAAAAATTATAGAACGTGAAACTAAGAAATGCATAGCAATATTTATTCTTCCTCGAACTTTTCGCATTGCTGACGTTAATAAAATATAATAAAATAGAATATTTTTTATGCCATGCACCTTAATTCGGTGTGTGGAATATTATTACAACGGCACACGCATAATGTGCGAGTATTATAAATTCAAAAAGAAACATAACGCCACACCAATTAAAACTAATTTATATACGGCCAGGACCATTAAGTTCACTCGTTTGACGGAGGGTTTTCCGATTTCTACGTAAATTGGCGACGGTCTCCAGAGTCACATTCACATTTTATGGCAGAATTAATTATACCGACTCGTTCAGACGTTAAATACTCGATATAATTATTTTTAATTTTTTGTTAGAGGACGGTAAGGTTCTGGAAAACCAAATATCATAGGAATGATTTAATTAAACATGATTTTGAAGTCAAATATTGTAATAATATAACTAGTGGTGCATGGCATTAAGACAAAATGCTATAACTAAAACTTTTGAACCCAAGATAGAAAAAAAAGATTTTTTTTAAATTTTGAACAATTTAAATTTCTTGAAAAAATCGGCTTTTTCAATAATGTTTTGAAACTTAATTTTTTCAATAAATTTGGCTATTTTGAAACCTTAGAATTTTTTGAAAAATTATTACATACTAGTTGAAATATCAAGAACATTTTTTTGAACTATTTATGTGAATCTAACACACTATAAATCTTGGTACGGGTACCATACAAAAGAAAACAAAATTTGTACTTGTCATTCAAATCTCTATAAAATATCTTATAATTTGATATGCATATGTCTAATGATCATTTTTTTTTAACTTTTTCTTCTCGATCTCTGAATCCGCCAGATCTGCTTTCCAAAAAATTAACCATTCAATCCTTTCTCTTAAAAACTTAATTGCTCTATTTGCTTTTTTGCTCCGAAATTTTGACACGGCTGGGCCTGCCTTCGCCAGCACGTTTCCCTATCAATGGAAATCAAATGTTTTGATTTTTGAATCATTCAAATCGGTTGATCCGTGTTCTCAAAATCGTGGATAAATAATTGTGTCCAAACATACTTACTACACATACGCGTATACTCACACATGCATCATTTTTTTAGGTATGTAAAAATATGCAAACATTTTCATTTTCAATTCAAGACAACAATATAATTTAAGATATTTTTATAATTATCAATAGAAAGATGTTAAAAATTAAAAATTACGTAAGGTAGGGCGGGGCTAGTTGAGCAAATGTTTACTTAAAGGGATGTAGCTCCTCAATTTATCATTGTTTATCATTGTCTTAACAAATTGTTATGCGGCTTGATGGATTTTTTGTATATTGCTTTAAAAATTATCAATAGTATTTTTTGTAATAAGTGAAATTTAGAATATAAACGCAGAAAGTCAAGTATGCTTAATATACTCCATAGGTGGGTAAGTTAAGCAAAGGTATGGGGCAAGTTGAGCACTAAAAAATATAATGAAACTATAAGTTCAATGTTGACTAGTGATAAAATAAAATAAGTGTTTACCAAACAGTTCTATATTTATAGTGACAAAAAAGCAAAACGTATAGTAATTTTCTTTGAATAATTAAGCAAAAGTAGAATAAAAAAAAAAGGCCTATCTAATAACCTGTCTAATGAACTAAAAATTACTATGAAAATTAGAATTACTAATAGGTTAACTTATTGTGAAATAAAGCAAAATTCGTACACAATGCATGTCATGCGGATGTCGTCCATAGAGGACGTAGCAAAAGTGAAATTAATTCTTATAGTATTGACTTAAATTCTAAAATGAAGTATGTTATATCTCAAATATAATTACAAACTAATAATAAATTCATTATATTAATTACTGTAATCAAAAACATTTACCAACCCACACAGTTAAAATCTATTTTCTCATTCAATTTCCCAAATCATAAATATTTCTCAGTCTCGGCAAAAGCAGTTTTCATTTGATACGCGACATCAATTTAGAGAAAATATTGAACTAAATAGAATTACCCGAATTACCATACCGGGGGTCACCTATGTTCCCACACGCGCTCGCCGGGCCGATTAAATATAAATCAGACAGATATGACCTTAATATTCTGTGACTAATGCGATATATTGGCTGATCTGGCGCACTTGACGAGGGTGACTTGTACTAAAGTACTCTAAATGCTTGTGTATTACGCAAAATTTCAACCCCTTTGTTATTTTTTTTTTGCATGTCATGATTTTATCGGAGATTGCTGTGGCTTAGTAGTAAGAGCTTTGGTCTTGCAACAACAAATGTAAATGATAGATAAATACCAAGGAAAATATAACAAACGATATTTTTATTATAGATTGCAATTTACGCCATGAACGATCTATTAAATTTCGACGATAATTTCAACAGTATGTTTTACAGCGCGTATCTTCATCAAAAATATTCTAGTAATTAAGTAATCACTTAATTACTATTTCTAGTAATTGTAATTAGAAAAACTAAACGACATACCTGATAGTGAGCATGATTTGTTTCTACAGCATCATGACCATTTACAATTTCAGCTGTTTGCTTAACATTCTCGCTTTTGAAAACCTGTAAATAAGATAACAAATGTTTTACATTGTATCTAAACATGATTGTGCTTATATATTATGATTATATATTGTATACATTTTGCTATAGGAGTAATGCGCTGATTTTTAAAATATATGAATATAATTTCTGGATTACGGAAGTTCGGAATTGAGAAAGGATTTCAGGATTTTAATAAAAGTTCTATCCAGAAGAAGAAACTAGTAGATTTTTGAGAAAGTACTGACCCGCATTGGAGAATCATCTGCCATGAATATTTTTATATAATATTCTAGTGAAACACTACATAAATTATACATTTAGCTAAACATCTTATTAAACAAAAACCTGTTCTGATTATAACTAAATTACGCAAAAAAATTATAAGCACTAAGGTTATAAAGATTATAAGAAAACAATTATAAGCACTAAGATTCAGAATAATGAAATTATTTAAATATTTAAATTTATTATTAAATTTATTATTTATTATTTATTATTAAATTTCTACGTATTTCTTCAGCAAAATGTATTAATTTCTTTTGTTGACTCTCACATTTAATACTCCGTATCTCACACCTAACAGCAACTCATATTATTAGTAAGAAATATCATCTTAACAATAAGCGTAAATCTAGAAATTTTTGATCTTTTTCAAATCTAAGATGATAATGGCCATGCAATCAAAAAGACTCGGCTCAAATCCGCATTTCACACAATTGGATATCAAGCAACAGTGTAATCATTTTCTTTCCAAAAATTGATGAAAATTATGATTCAAATTGTAAGCAATTAATATCAAAATTTAATTAAGATATGATTTAGTATATTAATAAAAGGTGAACCACTGGGTTTTCATTTTAAAATTCTATGTTATTTGTCAAAAAAATTACTCAATGTCTTTCTATATAGACATATTGTAATTTATAAAAAAAATTAAAAAAATGTAAGTAAAAACAACTTTTCAGCATTGTAGCAATATGTTAAAATATATCATGACTATTAAAAAGGACAACCATTAGGTCGACTTCTAATACAAAAAAATCACCACAAATAAGATGCTCAGAAAGATGCTCTTATGATAAGATTCTTCTTGACATTTATTTTACGGCAGAATAGGCCCATTAGTTGGCCCATGGTTGATGTTACAAACAAGTCTTACATGTTAAATAGATGTCTGTAGCACATAGATCAATCATCAAAATATCTAAAATTCTAATAGTACTAATTTCTTAATAATTTTATATTTAAAAAAATTCTTTATAGCGATAATATGCAAAAATTTTATCGCAACTACAAATGGCATTAACTCGAGATCAAGGGATTTCAGATAGTATATTATTTAAGCAACCAAAGAGAAATAGGGAGTATGAATTTCTATTTTTAATAAATAATAATTTCTAATTATACTTAGCCTAATGAAAATCCAATAGATAAAGTTTTTTAAATAAAGTTCCAAATATTATAGAAAAATCACAGAAACAATGCAAAATTTTGTTGAACTGAAAATTGGCATTAACTCAATATTATGTATGATGAACTTTGGGATCAAATAGGAGAAAACAGTAAAATGCATTGTCTTATTATATTTTTAACAGTAATCAGAACCTTACGTCCTATGAGCCGTTGGGCTGAAACTTCTTACTTCGTATTTTTAGATGGTAACCCAATGGTTAATCCATCCATATTTGATGATTTTTGTTATTAGAATTACTACTACTATTTTCACTTGGAAACATATTGCTATCTATATTTCCAAGTGAAAATCGTTGTCACTGCTGTCTGACTACAGGCTGCTCGAAGTGGGTATCGAACCAGGGACCTCTGAAACAAGTCCCGTCGCTTTTAACCGCTTACCTACGCATTTATATAATTAAATAGACAGGACAAACATTAGGTTGGCTTCTAAAGAGCTTGAGGAGTAGTATTATCATAACCGCTTATATTTCTCTTAGTTTTTCTTTTTTTACATTAGTGAATTACAATCTGTCGTTATAATTAACATTCAGCAATTTTAATGGTTTATGAAATAAGGAAAAAAAGGATCCGATTTGATGTTGGATATTCTCTTGGTTTTGTTCAGAAAAATAAACACAAAAAATATAAAGCGTTACAGCCTACTAATAAAATTGAAATTTTTTGCAAATCTAATATTTCGCAAATTGATAATGTATCAAAAATACTACGAGCTATAGTGAACGCGCCCTGGCATGTCTCCAACGAAACAATTCATCGAGAACTAAACATCAAATATGTACAGGAAGTTATCAAGGAGAGAAGTACGAAATATCATCAAAGAAGCTAAAACAAGTACCAATTAGAAGATTAAAAAGAAAGTGGCCGCAAGATTTAATAAATTAACAATCAATATATTTATGTAAGGAAATTCCCCTGGGGGAATTTCTAAAAACCCTGTACCCGTCAGCAAACAACCTCATTGAAACCCAAGGTTCAGATTAGTTATAAGAAATAAATTAAAAAAATGATAATGTATAATGAAATCTCCATTACATCCTTATTTTCTAAAACTGCACATCGTTTAAATCAAAATTTCAGCTTCCATCTGCCCTTGTTATCGTGCCTTGTTGTGGCTCTGTGGGAAGATGAGTCTCGTAGATAGTCAATCGTCGTCGTCCAATTTGCGTAATAACCCGTCGATAATTTTATTGTCGGTTCGCGCGCGTCCTAAATAATTTTATTGCTTCGCGGTCGATCCATCGCCTATTCTGTTGTGACAGCGTCCATCCGATACGCCTTCCGAGCTCGTTTCGGTTACAAATTACAATATGACCGATGACAATTCACTCACTCATTGCCTCCGATTGTTGTCCTATGATCGTCCTATGACTGTACTGTAAACCAATTCAATTACCTAACGACTAGCCAAATCTGTAAACAACCACCGAGGACGACATGAGAAATATTAGAAGTCGAGGCGATGCAACGCGCCGTGTGACTTTTCCTTTATCGCGTTTTAATTGCTGACACGATGCTTTGAAATTGATAGCGAAATAATTGCGGGATAAAAAATAGTTACACGCGTTCAAGTACTAAATAGGGGTAAAGGAATTATGAGAATATACTATTTTTTACATAACATATACGTTTTATATTCATGTAAAAATAAATTTATGCAGAAATATTTCAAAAATTAAGTAAAATACGTTTGTGTAAAATCCAACAAAAACTAGTTATAAATAAGCAGTATTATTCCTTAAATCAAATTGCCAGAAGTTTATTAAACTCGGCGCGATGATCGGACGAGCCGTTTCTTCGTAATTAGTAACAAGTGTAATTTTCGCCTACAACTTTCAATCAATTTTAAAAATTCAAAAACCGTTCGAAAGGTATTGATTGGGAATTGTACTGATTAGTTTTTGGTAGAGATCGGTTTTGTTTTTTTGTAATTAAGTGGTAAATATTGTTTTCGACGATTTTCATATAAAATTTTTGTCGATAGATATCCTGATCTTAAAGAACATACTAAAATATTACGGCCCTACGAGAAGTTTTATAATTTTGTTAAAATCAAATTGCCAGAAGTTTATGAATTAAACTCGGCGCGACGATCGGCCGAGCAGTTTCTTCATAATTAGTAAAGAGTGTAAAATTTTTCGCCTACAACTTTCAATCAATTTTAGAAATTCAAAAACCGTTGGAAAGATATTGGTTCGGAATCGTACTGATTAGTTTCTGGTAAAGATCGGCCTGGCTGTTTTCTTGTAATTAACTGTTAAATATTTTATCCGACGATTTTCATGAATTTTTTTTACTATAGATTTTATGATCTGTTATAGCCACAATACATTTATTACAGCCCTACGAAAAGTTCAAGTAATTAGTAATTTTAAATTGACACCAAATTGTGACAAAACTACCTAAGTTTTTTCTGGCGTTTGTTCAAATTAAACCTTTCATCGAAGTTTTCTCAAAAACGGCTGAACCGATTTTACAAATTTAAAAGCCATTACAATAAGCTCGATAGGGAGGAGCCGCGATTAGATTTGCAAGACAACCAGCCAAGCCATTTCTTTGAAATTAGCAAAAAAATAACAGTTTTGTAACAGTTTGTTAAAAAATCTTGCTATATCTAGTTTATGGATTTGTGCATTGTTAACAGATTTTAATTAATTAATTAAAAATTAACAATAATAATTAATTTAAATTAATTATCTAAATAGCTTCCTCATATAGACGGGGTCGCGAGTTCAAGCTCTCGCTGCGGCAACCTGGCATCGGGCAGCAGCGATGTCCACTTACACTTGAAAATACATATCAAAATATGTTTCTAATTAAAAATAAGCTTATTTCGGGCACTGCGCTGTAAAATGGCAACGAAAAATTTCTCACACTCTTATTTTCTGAATAAAGTTGGAGTTTAACTCAGCTCACAATATTTCAGTATATCCACGAAGACAAATGTTTAAAATACCATAAAATTTACATTTTTCCTAGATAACTGGTAAATTAACAAAATTTGTCTGACAAAAAAAGTGGCACAACCGTACCCAATCTCTCCTGATAAAAATTCAAATTCCGAGATATTTTCGTTTCATAATCTCACTTACACATACATATACTTGTCAGCATTCTTTGGTTAATGTAATAATTTTTACATATTGCAGAATAAAATTGAATAAAAAAATTATATTTTTTTAAATGATCAATTATTAAAATTAAAAAATATGTAGTATATGTGCCAAATACTAAAACTCAACTTGATAAAAAACTTAATATAATGTAGGGATCTAAAAATAAATATTTATAAAATAGTACCATCATTTTTTTTTATTTTTTTTAACTCTGTTTTATTCAGCAATCAGAAATACATAAGAATTCCTATAAGCTAAATTGACAATAATTGCAAGCGATGTCTAAGAAGAACTCCAATGAGACCTTCTTAGTTTAACAATTAAAAAGATACCATCATTAATTAAAATTTTTATATTAAATACAAATGTCAAATTTTAAAACAATATTGTTCATCAATCAATATTACAATATTGATATAGTTATATTTA